GTCAAACTGTTCTTAAACGGTATGACTACTTACTCTGGGGTTGAATCCTGGCACTACTGACACCATAACTACTACACTGAGCTGTAGTGGTTATTGTGCCTGGATTATTTAATTAAATAATCTACAAGTGCCCCTCCCGAGATCAGGCTCTGGATCCGCCACTGGGTGCAATACCTCTTTTTAAGAAGAGACACACAACAGTGAATTGCAGAATTTACCACTCACATGGTGTGGAGCTTCAGAGCAGCTTCAGTTTAATTAGCTTCAAGTGGTATAATCCCAACCAATAGATTTAGGTGCTATTGATATGGTATGGTTGCAGTGATGAGTATGAAATGGCAAAAGGATAGACTAACAGTGTAGTACGATTAGTACAGAGATGTAATCTTAAAATAGAAAGTAATACACTCACATAGGAGGAGCTTCATACTGAGCTCAAGGTATCAGGTGTATGGCAGTACAATCCCTGCCTAAGGGATTTCTCTTGGTCATTGTTTTTTTGGTAGTATATGTTAAATTAATGGTAGAAAGAAAAAAAAAACCTTGTGCTCACTGTTTGATAAAGTATATAGAAATGTTGAAACACTCCTCAATGTTTTCAGTGTAGGTGGTTTAATCCCTACCAAGGATTAAGTATCCAAGCGTCAAAGGAAGATGCTTTAATCAGGAGTGTGAGGGGAAAGATTTTAAATACAAAAAACAATAATAAAAATATCTCTGGTAGATCCAAGATGCTTTATTATTAAAACAGTAAAATAAAGGATAAAAACAATCTACAATGCGTTTTGCCTAGTTCAGTAAACCTTTCAGGTTTACAGTACAGTCTGGCAGATAGCGTTATATCAGGGAAGCAGAATTCGAAATCCATGGCTAGATGATGTCATGGTCACGTGACCGTGATTGTGATCACATGACCATATCGGATTGCAATGTTGATACAAGATACAATATGGATCAAAGCAACACGTCACATGACCTCATATGAGTGTACTAAGAATAAAGATTGAAGGCAGATCGAGAGGGGCTATGATATTATTAAATGCCTAAGAAGACTAAAATGTGGGGAAGGTGAAAATGCATAAGCATATTTAAATAGTGATGTGTCATGATTATAAGGCCATTCGCATGCTGAACAATATTTGAAGAGGGCGTAAGCATGGTAACAACAGCGGTAGTAACTGGAGAAAGTAAAAACAGATGTCCACAACAAATGGACAATTACAGGAGCATGATGATAAAATTAATATTTGAGGATTGAAAAAAAAAGAAGAAACAGGGTCGCAGGCAAGAGGAGCTCCTGCATCACATTACTAAAAATGACCAAAAACCATGTATTTTAATGAAAAACAGACCGACCGCAACACTGCCCAAAGGACTGCTGGAACCAGGGAGAGGCTGGCTCTTTGGGCTTCAGTCCCCTGGAGGAGAAACTTTCAGTGTCCCGATTGAGGCCTTCTCCGGCGGTGAGTGGGGCGGACGGCCACTGCCCCACTATCCTGCAATACAGCATCCAGCCCAGAGCATGAATCCAGGCGGATCCGGCCCTGTTCTCCCCCCCCACTTATGGAGCAGGGGGGTGATCCCGGTCCTCACCCTATAGGCCTGATCGTGTTACAGTGGACGAAACCGGGGGGCCCAACCACTGCACCCAAAATGGCGGCCGCCATGTGCGGAAGAGAGAAAGGGAGGCTCAGCACCCCACCTCTGCTGACGGCTGACACCATGGCTCATGCCTCCAGACACTGCCATGAAGGGGAGCAATACTCCTACTACCTGCCCCAGCAGCCATCCAAACTAATGACGACAGCAGCTGCACAGGGGGGACGGAACTACCCCGTGCCCCGACCACAGCTGACTGCAAGGACCGAGCAAGGCGCCAAGCAGGGTTCCCCAGCACGAAGCTGGACATCTTACTCACCTTTTGTCCAGCCTGCCACCAAATGACCCACAATCCGGCAACACTAAGCCTCCCACCACCGCTGACCCCGGCCCTCAGAGGACCAAGCACACCACAAAGCAGCTGCAGCCCCGGAGACACCAGCGTGCAACCCATAGAACAGCAGGGCTGGACAGTGTGCAGATGCCTGCTCTGGAGGACACCCACTCTACACAGAATGAGCAGAGCAGGTGTCAGTCAGCAGTGGGACTCCCCCTCTGAGAGCGATCTCAGGACCACCATGATGGCGGCTCCCGCTGGGGCAGTACGGACAGCCCACATTGGCCTGGGTGATAACAGTGACGACAATATTAAAGCAACTGACGATAATATTAGAGCGAATGCGGATAGTACTAAAGCGACTGATGTTAGTATTAAAGCAACTGGTGAGAGCATTCAAGCGACTGACAATAGCATTAAAGCAACTGTTAATAGTTTTAAAGCGGCTAACAGAAATTTAGCGTGAACACCATTTACAATTCATATGTACTAACATGTCTATACAGCTACCATAGTATGCATGCATAACTTGCGACATCTGTAGCACTAGTATAGACACTGACCAAGCCTCATTACTGTAGTAACCTACTGCGTAAAGCCAAATTTAAGCTGAATATAACAAAAAAATTGTGCCTGTTAATCTCTGGTCCCGCATGTTTGGCGAGGAAAATGCCTGAGGATTGCCTTCGGGGCACCTCTTGCCTACTTGTAATATCTATGTGCACTACAAAAAAAAAAAATGTAAAAAAAGAAAAAAGAAAAGAAGAAACAGCAGAAGTGGCAGTGTATTTATAGCAGGTTAAACATCGATCAAAGATAGCCATGTTGATAACGTATAAATGAAGGCCAAAGAAACAGCCAAAGTAAATAAGGGTAAAAAACTATTTGCTATATAAGCTTAGCTTGAACAATACATGTAACTGAATAAAAGAATAAAAAAGTAGAAAAAAATAGAAAAAATAATAACAAAAGAAAGCATATATTATAGTAGTAAAAAGTAAAATATAACATAAAATTCTGGAATATTGCAGTAAGCTAAGTGCCAATCAAAGGTGGCCAAAATTAAAAAGGACAAAAGTAAAGCAAAGAAAGGTGAAAAAAAAATAAAACTAAAAAAAAACGTTATATGTTATAACATTTATCAGTATGCTAGGTGAGACGGCAGGGGTTATATAGTGCCATGTACGAGTAGGAAAAAGCACCTTGTGGAAAGATTTGTGGATCTGGTAGGTAGACAGATGTTTATTGTAGTGGACAAATTCATTAGGATTGAGTTGAAATTAGAGAATTCATTTTGTTAGCCATTTGTTTTTGGATTTATATTGTGGACTGTCCACTGAGCCCATATTGTAGTTTTTTACTGTCATTAATCCCATCAGTTGGTTCATTTTTTGCAAACACTATATTTTGCCATAATTTACTAAGGAAATACAGGCAGTAAAACATATTTTGGGGTGTCAGTTTCCAGTACAGCAAAGCTAAAACCAGGTCAGGTTGAATGTCCTTAATAATGTCCCAAGCTTGGATTCATTTGACCACCAGCCAAACAAATATACATCATTATCTTTTACTATATTAATGTTTTTACAGCCCCCTGTAGATTCAATCTTTAAAATCCAGGGGTATTAACCTGGTGTTTCCATATAGTGTTAGACTAGAACACCAATAATCATACGGCTTGCAGGCAGAGGCGTAACTAGAAACCACGGGGCCCCGGTGCAATAAATTGTCCTGGCATAATGAGCAGCCTCATGAGGTTTGATGGAGCAGAGGCTGTTGGGTAGGTATTGGTGAGTTTAGGTTAGCAGCAGGGCGCACTGAGGGTTAGGTGCAGGGCAGCATGCACTATTAGCGGTGCGGGAAGCTAGCGATCACGGCAAGAGCCCTGATTGGTAGATCGCAGCAAGAGATAAGAAGTGGGGGGGAAATTGGTAGTATAAATTTAAAGGCGCCAAAATTATTTACCTCACCTTGTGCCAGACAACTATCAAGGTTGGCCGTTTTAAATATAAATGAGCTGCTGCTCCCACTCACTCTCCCTTCTTGTCGTGACCTTATTATGGGATATAGGTCACCCTTTTGGGCATCACAGGAGGATGGATTTGGTTTATAAAATTGGTTTTATGATATATCTTTGTCTCCTGGCTTTGGGGGGGGTGGGGGGGGGCAGAGCCTTGGAAAATTTTAATAGAAAGTTGTAATGGCTAATATTTTGGTTTGGTTTTAAAATGATGGTTTTATTATTATTAAGGATGTTGATGTTTAAATTGGAATGATGAAATCCGTAATAAAGGTTCACGGCCATTCTCCAAAGGTGTAATATTGAAGTACTGGATAAACAAGTTGGATAAAAGAAGTTGCCTTGTGTTTATTTATATTATGTATCATTAGGAATGCAAAATTCAAACCTCAATTCCATCTGGGAGAGTACAATTGGACATCACTACTCCAGTCCCCATAAGGAAGGAGATACTGTCTGCCAACACACTACATTGTATAACATCCAGCAGCATAATTTAGCATCAAATAATTATTCAAAGTTTGTTTGAGAGCTGCAATGACAGTTATACATGCTAAAGATAGAATAATATGAATAATACCCGTATGATAAATTCTGGCATTTAGTCAATTATAGACTGCTTAGCGAAGGAACTACCAATTTGTCAGAAATTCTATTTTTCCTATAAACCTTCCAAAACTTCACGCAAATCCATTCAGTAGCTTTAGAGGATAAAAGATGTCAGAAATATTACTTCAATGTTACACTTTATGACAGGACGCTCAGTTTGGCAGATCCAAAGTGAAATCTGTTTCAAAGATTAATTTAAAACAAGGAAGGGAAATCCTCTAGTGGGCTGTAAATCTCTCAGCTTGAGACTCGCGGGAGACATGGTCCACAGCTGAGACCTCAAGAGGGGTTGCCAATCTGTCAGATAGCCACTGTTGGCTTGCTTCAAAATCAGGGATAAAACAGGTTACTGGAAAATTTTCTTGCTTCATTGAAAGTATTTTAAATGTAGACTGGTGATGATGATTTTTTCAACTTTAAATTTTACTAGAAAATGGTAAGGTCAGTAAACATCCTGACAGACCTGGATTTAGTGTGTTTTAGTGTTCATCTTGTGGTCCATCCAATATTGATATCATCATTGAGTTTTTCCATTTTCCTGGATTTAAGGTATGAAAATGTAAATTTATTTCAAACATTAAAAAACCAAAACAATGTATTCACTTCCACATAAAATATACCCCTATATCTCCCTTTCTTTTAAACCAGATATCCTCTAAACAAACTTTCCTTGTTTACCAGTCACCCTCTATCGTTCTTTCCCTTTAAGCCCATATCTATGTATCATTTATGAAATAATGCAGTCCCTCCATGATTCCTGACTTTAATGATAGTCCTTTTCTATGGTATCTTCCGACCCCTTTATTATCATAAACCCTTTAAGAGTATGTTCCTACTTGTGCCCATTACTACAAGTAAAAAAGGGACATCTGTGAAATATCCTGAGCAAGTGCCCCTTTTGCCTTGCCTTAAAGGGACACTGTAGTCACCAGTGTGCTTAATTCCAACAACTATTAGACTCTTCATTTGTGGATACTTATTCGGTGGTGATGAGATTACAGACAGTTTTTGTGTTTATATGATCTTATTTCAGTGAAATGGAAAAATATTTCTTAATTTTAGGAAAAGTGTTATTTTAGTTCATTCCCTTGAATCATTCGTAAATAGAATATATGCTGGGAAATAGATTAAGACACAGCTGCTAAATAACTTCCTACCCTTTTTACTAATTTTGATCAAGAATGCCAACACTTAAATGATATTAATGTTACTAACAAAGAGCAATATGAGTAATACAAACATAACTAATGAGTCCAATGTCTCAAGTAGAATTAATTATTAATGTACAAAGTTTTGTTGTGAATATAAAACTATAGTCATAATATATTACTACTACCAAAAATCATGGAAAAATTTTTAAGTTGTTGTGGTGCCAGGAGATCAGAAACGTTTTAAACTTAAAATCCAGTATCCAGCACCCTATCACTCTTCCAGCTGCCCTTTCACTGCTCCAATTGTTGAAAGAGGAAGCCTCATATAGGGGCATCGCTGAGTGGCTTAGAGAGTCGGTTGACGTTCCAAGCCAATTAGTAGCTTCTCATTCCCAAAACGGCTTGAGAACTGTACGTATTTTCTCAAGAAATTTTTATGAATGGGAAGCTACTGATTGGCTGAGAGTGTGTTGAAACACTCAGCCAATCAGCAGCTTCCCTGATTAAGGGTGTGCAACAGGGGCCACGTCCTGTGGAAAAAAGTGTGGGAACTCACCCAAGATCCACCCACAACCAAAACCAAAATTATACGCTTGTATGCATATATACGAGGTTAGTGTGCCAGATTTAGGAAGATTAGGGGGGTTAGTGTTGCAGGGTTAGGGAGGCAAGTATGGCAGGGTTAGGGAGGTTAATATGGCAGGGTGAGGAACGTTAGGGTGGTTAGTGAGATAGGGTTAGGGGGTTTGAGAGACAGGGTTAGGGAGTTAGAGAGACAGAGTTAGGGGGGCTAGTATGACAAGGTTAGTGGGTTTAGAGAGACAGGGTTAGGGGGCTAGTGAGACAGGGTTAGGGTGACAGAGTGAGGGGAAAACACACAGACTTAAAATACATTTAACATATTTTGCTTTGCCCCCCTCCTACTTACCTTCTGTGCAGGCAGGGGAGACAATAATTAATTTCATGGTGGTCCTGTGGGTCCCTAGTGGTCCAGTTTGCTGCTGGTTCGCTCCCTGGTGGTCCAGTGTGCTGCTAGTGAACTCCCTGGGGGTCCAGTGTGCTGCTGGGGCTGCCGCACTCCCTCACGGTTCTGGTGCACTGTGATGATGTCAGAGCGTAGGCTGGGAACCTGGCGCCTGTGCTCTGACACACAGTGCGCCGGAACTGCGAGGGAATGCGGCAGCACACTGGACCACCATGGAGTTTGTTACAGCTGGCACCTGCTCACTCAAGGAAGGGGGTTGGATCAGAGCCTGAAGGACTACTAACGGGAACGGCGTTCCTGCTGTGGAAAAAGTGCAGGAATGCCGTTCCATTGCGTTCCTGCTGGACTCGAGCCCTGGTGTGCAAGGATTCTTCTTTCAAGAATCTAAGCAGTGGAACGATAGGGGGCAATGCTAAATAATGCTGGATACTGAACTTTGGGGTTAAAGCCCTTGTGAAAGTATTAGCCCCTAAAGGTTAGCTGCCAGGGACTTCCTGGTACTATAACAACTTTATTCCAATGATCTTGGTCTGCTGCCAGGTTTGTTCCTTCACGCAATAGTGTAATATTCCAAATGATGGCTGTTACTACTGACATGGTCTGTAGATTTAGGCGTGCAGACACTGGCAGGGGTGCCCAGGCACACCCCAATTAAGGGTTGATTTCCCACCCTGTTCACTATATACATCTATCTGCATTAA